AAAGCGGCGGGCTGGGAAAATGCCCGGCTTTGTCTCCGGCTGGGGTGGAGGCTCTGGGCGGCCTCCCGGGCGCATTAACATTCCTGGCGCCCCAGCCACGGCCGCTGCAGCGCCTCCCGGGAGACTCCACTTTCGCTATTACTGTCAAGTACCCTTGACTCTTTATTTTTGCCCTTTTATCTATTACAACTAATTCGAGTTCTTTTGCCCTTTTCAGTCTAAGACGTGGGCTTTCTGCAAAGCCTCCCCCTGCCAGCCAGATCTCGGAGCGCGGAGCCTTTAGAAATTGAGGGGTTTACTGTCAAAATGAAAATTTCACTTCAAATTATCTTGGCTGATGCTCGCTCGCCAGGCCGGGGGCTCAGCCGCAGCCTTTTGACAGGCACATCAGCGGTGAGCTTCCGAATCTCGATAATATCATCCAAGAGAGCGAAAGTCAATACGGTGACAGCGCGCGGGCGGATACAATCCAATTACCGCTCGGCCGGCGAGGGCAGGGCTCGGGCTCTGCGGCACCAGGTCCCGCCGTCGCTCAGGGTCCGGGGGCCCTCGCGCCGCTCCAGGTCCTCGACCGCCTGCCGGGCTTCCTGGGTGCGGACCCGCCGGACCGAGAGCGCCGCTGGCCCTGGCCTGCTCCCTGAGTCTCAGGACCCTGCAGGGCCCAGCCTGTCCCACCCAACCCAGGAGCGCAGAAGGATCCCGACCCGGAGGGGCGACCCTGCCAAACCCTGCTGTCGATGTTTACTGGTCTTGGTGGGTGGCGCTGTCACCCGTCTCCTCACGCTCCATGGCTAAACAGTACTTCCTTGGGGGGGCCACCTGTGCGTTTGAGGAAGCCAAGCAAGCCCTAGGGCATCAGGTTTTCCGGAGGGGCACACCCGAGTCCGCAGTGCGTGGCTCTCCAAGGCTGCGCACCTGAAGTTCCCAACCCCAGGAGGCTTCATTGCCGGCCGCAGAGTCGTCTGCGGGTGGTAGAGGGGGGCGGGGCAAGCCGGCGGTGGTCGGGCCGGACCAAATGGCTGAGGCTGCTCTGGGAACCGACTTGGCCAGATTACTGGGTGCTGGCCAGCTGCCCTTTCCCCAGGACCCCCAGGTGCCAGCGGGTTCTTCCCAAAAACCTTGCTGCCTCGAAGTGTCCCCAGGCCATTTCCTTCAGCCCCTCCTCCCACCACCTCCAGAAACCACCACGCTAGGATCTAGAGTATAGGCCTTTTGGCCAGGCCGGGCTAATGCGGCCTATCTCTGGGAAGAGGGCAAGGATACAAACCGGGAAAGAGTGGTCCAGGTCTCCAGATTGCAGGAAGGAGTGGGGAGGGTGGGGGTGGGGCAAGGGCATCTACTGATGGTCTGTCTTGCTTCCCGCCTGCCCAAACCCATCCCTGTCCAGTTGGTTTTGACTTAATAGCGACCCTATAAGGCGGAATAGCGCTGTCCCCTTCGGGTCATCTAGACTGTATATCATTAAAGGTACAGACATTCTCATGTTCCTCTGGAGGCGCGGCCTGGGGAGAAGCCACTCACCTGGCAGTTAGTGGCCCACTGCTTAACCCACTGCGCCACCGGATGGAAACACACTCAACCGGATGCAGCCCCAATGAACTTAGGAAGCTTAGGCACTATCCTAACCTAGTGGAAGACAACCCCGTTTTCTGGAGATTCTGCGTGTTGGAAAGTAGTGGGTCCCTCCTCAATTCTAAGAGGAACAGAATCTTCCAGTTCCATCCTGGTGGCTACTCCTTTTTTTTTTTTAAGTGGACTTCCTTAAAAGTTTGGGTGCCAACCACCCCTCCCTCTCTGTCCCCCAGTAGGGGGAACCTTCCTCTTTAAGCCTTCAAAGCCCTGGGTTGGAAACATGTTCACTTTGCAATGCAAACACCACCACTCAGATTTATTGGTTTGCTATATAGTAGCCTCTGAAGCAGGCAATTATTGGTGTGAACATACATTACAAAATTGGGGTTTTTTTCTTCTCTTCTTCTCTCGTCAAGAGTGTGCAATAGTGTAAACGCCGTGGAAGTGCGTAGGGAGGAGACGTAGGTGCTAAGGATGGAATTCGAAGGTGAGCAGGCCGAAGAGTCTTCCTAAGGAATATTTGCATGCCTCACATCCAAAAGGAAAGAGCAACACAAAACGAAACCTCAGAACCAAACTGTCTCCGGGTAAACTTCTGCACATCACCGCGACGCTCCCGGTGGCTCCCTCCTGCTCCGTTCCCAGCGCAGCTCAGGGAGATCGGGGCTGGCAGAATCAGGGAACCCGCCACGGTTCCTCTGGGGACCAACTTCGGATTCCCGGTCTGCGGTGGCTTGGTGGCCTTAGCTTTGCTGTGCGCGCGCCTTGACGTTCCTTTTCGTTCACTGTAGAGAAAGCGTCTGCGCCGCTACCCATGCTCTTGGCCTGCACGCCAGTTCTCCTCGAGCCTCCGAGCCCCGCCGGCATTAGGCGCAGAAAGGCTTGCTGCCGGCTTTGGGCAAGGTGAGCAGCTCCTTGGCCACCCCTACGGCTTGGGGGTCTTGGGGTGCGGCTGGGGGGAAAGCGCGAGCCAGAGGCGCCGTCAGCACGTTGGCGCCCGCCCCCAGCGACCTTCCCAGAGGCCCCGGGTCCAGGAGCGCTCCCTTGGCGGTGGCCCAGGCCTGGTTCAAAGTGCTGTGCCTGAGGATGGGGTCGTGGAAGACCCCGTCCACCCAGTTTCTGAGGCTGGTGACCGGAGAGTCCTGGTGTCGGTCCAGGCTCGCGGTAGGGACAGGGGCTGGGGGCGAGGACGCGGAAGGCGCAGATGAGGCGGCCGCGGGGGCTGTGGGGCCTTGGCGCTTGAGCATGCAAGATGGGAACTCAGTCTGACTCAGGACTGTGGCGGCCGCGGTGGCTGTGTGCGCCAGGGACCAGATGCGAGGCTTGGCCTCCAGGCCTGAGGTCACCCCGGGGGGCGCAAAGCCCAGCTTGGTCTCGCAGGCTTGAGGCCCTCCTCCTGCTCCCTGCTGCTCCTGGCCGGCTGCTGAGCTTCGCAGGCAGCTCCGGGACCTCTCTAGGTCCGCATCCAGGTCTGCTCCTTCCCCAGCGGTCATTTGCATCCGTAGGACTCCGGATGCCTCCTTGCCAGGGGCACTGGGGCCATCAGGGGCAGCGGGGATACGCTCCAGGATGCTGCCTTCCAAAGTCTGGAAGGGCGGCTTCAGCTCACACTCGGAAGGCTCCGCCTCAAGAGGGTCAAAGTCGTCCAGGTCACTGAGTTCCAGTTCCTTCTCTTTGCTGCTGGCCTCTGTTTCAGAGAGGAGCATTAGTGGAGGGGTCGACCCTCCCTTTGCCCCGAAGCTAAGCCCAAGGGTAAGATGCCTTTCTTCATACTTCCTGGTTCCTCCACAGCAAAAATCTAGCCACAGTCCTCACTGCTGACCCATAGTGACCCCCTGTGCGTTCCCCTGACTACAACTGCAGGACTAGAAAGTTCCATCTTTCTCCTGCATAGCTGCTGGTGGTTTTGAACTGCCGACTGTGAGAATCGCAGCTCAATGCTTAATGACCACTACACCCCCAGGGCTCCTGCAGACCCGCAAATTCCAGCCACACATGATGGGCGGAGAGCACATAGGGTTTGTAAGAGTGATTGCGAATTTCTGCAAACATATTCGGATTCACTGCCCTGTGTCCAGCACTCCCAGAACCCCACACAATGCCTTCTTCTTTTATTTGCTGTCTAGGCCCTATAGGCTTTGGGTCTGCCACCCTGCCCAACTTGGGGGCCAGAGTAGGAACTGGGCTCTTGGGCCCTCAGACCAGGGCCTCAGCCCCAGCCCCGCTCACCTCAACCCACCTTCATTCTTGGTGCTCTTGAGGGGCTCCTCCCGCACTTCATCCTCCCCTTCTTCCTCTTCCCCTTCTCGGTAGGGCCGCTTCTCATCTGCGCACTTGTTCCGCGGCGGCCACGTCATCTTGTTCTCCTTCTTGAGGCGCCGGCGCGCGTTGGCGAACCAGGTGGAGACCTGCGTGAGGGTCATCTTGGTGATGATGGCCAGCATGATCTTCTCGCCCTTGGTGGGGTAGGGGTTCTTGCGGTGCTCCTGCAGCCAGGCCTTGAGCGTGCTGGTGGTCTCGCGAGTGGCATTCTTCCGCCGCGTACCGCTGTCCATGGTTCCATACCTGGAGACAGGCCCACCATTGGGCGCCCCGCGGCCGCCGGGCAGAGCGCAAGGCTGGACGCGGGCCTCCCCTTCCCAGCTGGGGCTATGTGCAAAGCCAGGGGGCTGGCGGCAGCTAGTGCACGCAGGCCTCAGCCAGGCTCCCCAGCAGCTCAGAAAGCCCTTGGCGGCCAGTGGGCAAACCCAAGGCCTTCGTTCTTTCCCAGTAAAGTGAGGGGCAGCCTCGGGCTCTCCCACTGCACAAAGGCAGATACTGCCTTGGGCATCTCCTACTTTTTGAGGATGAAGTCAGGAAAACTCTTCTCAGACACCACACCCGCTGGGGCAGAAACCCTTAGCACCCAGGTGGAGAAACCAGCCGATTGCCTCAGTGGGCTTTTCCTGTTTCAATGTTTAATCATGGCCAGGCTATGGAGTGCCTGAGAGGGCTTTGAAGCACACAACTGGGGTGGGGTGGGGGGAGGCCACACTTCATAAGGCATGTGTGTTGGGGAGGGGTAAGACGCCCTGCTGGACTGGGTCTGCTGGACCAGAGACTCCGATAACCACTGTCGCAGCATGCTACAGCCTGACCTCAGGAAAGCCTCCCTCCCCTCCTAGAGGGGCAGGTGTGAGGGCATTAGAGGTGGTCTCGTGGGGGCATCCTTGAAGGCGGACCCAATGCGGGGAGTCTCTGGTTCCTCACCTGTCGTAGGGGTACTGGCCCAGAGCCGGCTCATATGGGTAGTAGGCAGCGGCAGCAGCAGCAGCAGCAGGTGCCAGGCCCGCATGCGCGGACCCGGTCCCGTCCTTGGAGTCGAAGCTGTTCTGTAGGAAAGGACTAGTCTGTGGTCCAGTCCGATCTCCGCTCCTAGGCCCCTGCGGGCTGACTCCAGGGCAACCCCGCAACCCACCCGCTGAGGCCCCCACACCACCCCTTGGACACCAAAAACGCAGGAAGATTGAGTTTACGGCAGGGAAGAGGCTTTGGGCATTCTTGGATGGAGCAGGAAGCCCGGAGAGTGAGGGAAAGGCAGAGATTAGGGATGGGGCTGGAGAGAGGAGCAGCCCCAGAGAGTGGGTAGGAGGGGAGGGGCTGACTGCAGAGGGGAATAGAAGGGTTGGAGGGTCTACCACTGGAAGGAGAGGTTTGAGGGAAGGGCATTGGGGAGAGGAAGAGGAGGGAAGAGAGAAATGGGGAGGAGTCAGGACTGAGAGAGTGGGAAAGGAGGAAGGGGGGAGGGATGCCAGAGGGTAATCTGGGAAAGGGGCATAGTCTGAGTTGAGTCTGAGTGGGATTGCGGTGGGCGAAAGAGGCAGGCCCCTGAGTGGAGGAGCAGAGGGGGAGAGAAGAACAGGAGGGAGTTCAGGAGAGAAAGTGGGCAGGAACTAGTGGGGCAGGAACAGGGGTTTGTGAGAATAAAGAGCTAGGGTGCTAAGAGGAGCCAGAGATCTGGTTAGAACTCCAAAGAAATGCTATATGAACGCCCCACCCACCAGGGACGTTCCTGAGCACCCCCATCCACAGCCTTGGGGTCAGAAAGGTTCAGTCCCTGTCTCCCATGCACAGAGACAGTGGGGTTGGCAATTCGGAGCCAGAGGGTGTGATTAGTGGTTTGGGGCGCTAGCCCCCTTACCAGTGAATAGAAGGCCGATGCCTCTGAGCCATAGGTCACATAGTTGCCATAGCCCTGCGAGCTGCTGTAGGGAGCCCCGTAGACGCCAAGCGCGGCGGAATTGAGTTCGTGGCGCGCGGTGGCCAGCAGCCGGCTCTCGTAGACCGGGCAGTAGACAGGCGCCTGGGCCGAGGCTGCAGGACCCGACTCGGCTAGCGTACGGCCGCTGGTCTCGCAGCACGCGCTCAGGGAGTTGGTGGTCATCAGGAACTATAGGGACCGAGGAGTTTCAAAGATGGAAGAGCTTCTGGGCCACTGGGGGTAGTGGCGGCAGGTATCTAAGGGCACCGAGCTCAGTGCACCAGGAGTGCCATGCCCTCTCATCCCCCGTGCCTCCTGCAGTGCAGACCTGACTGCGTACCTATCCCTCTGCCCCCTCCCCCCAGCCTCTGAACCTGCCTGGCCTCCTCCAGCCACTTGGAGTCCAACTCACCCCTGGCCATAAGTACACATTTCACCCCCCACCCGCGGGAGGTTTCCAAAGCATACACATCCCAAGAACCCTGTCTCTCCTTGACCAAAGTCGTTTTTTTTTTTTTCGGGAGGGGGGTGTAAAGAGGGGAGGGTCCCAGAGGTTCCCTGGAGTGCCACCTGAGAGTCCCAGCTTGTCCTCAGCCCTGGGTGTGGGACAAGGCCCTGCTCCTTCCTAAGCACTTGCTTGAGACTCTGAGGTCCTTCCCCAAGCCCTCTTAGAGGTGGGGGGGTCCCTTACCTGGGGAGCAGAGGAGTAGGGGTATCCAAACTGAGGGTAGGACATGGCGGGCCGGACCTGGGGCCAGAGGGCGGGGCTGGCGGGCTCCTGGGCGCTGGGGCAGACGTGGCGCGGCCACTGCTCCGGAGCCGCAGTCTCCTAGGCTCTGAGAGTGCAAAGCGGAACCCTAGGTTAAATTCTCCCACGCGCACCGCAAACTTTTTTAACCGAGTAAGAAAAGTGCGCCCCAGCGGCCGCCGCGATGCTTCTAACCTCGCAAGCCCGAGCCTCCAGGGGGCTCTGGGACCGAGCGGTCTCGCCGTGGCGACACAAATACATATTTTGCCAAAAAGGAGTGTAAAAAAAAATCAAGGAAACAGCGCAAAGCTGTCAAGTCAGATGTGCAGGGCTTTGAGCGGTGGAGGGAGGCGCTGACGTCAGCCTCACGCCGTAGAGCCCGGCTGACCCGTGGACGCGCGGGTCCCTGGGTCTGCGGGCCAGGAGCACGGGGCCAAGCAGGGCGGGGACCAGGCCCAGCGCGCCAAGCGGACGGAGGGGCCCAAGGGCGTAACAAATGAATTCCATCCATCCGCGGAATCAATACTGCCCCGACGAAAGGTGTTTCTCCTTAGTCACCCGACGATGGAGGCACTTTTAATTAGAAATTAATTAACGAGCAGCTGCTCCTTCCCGCCCCACCGTAATCATTAGTCTCAATTACAAATGAGATGTATGAAGGGACACCCGAGTGAGTCTTCATTTAAGATGTAATCAACAGTTAAAATGAGCCCGCGCTGGCCATCCGCAGCCGCTGCCCTCCTCTCCTCCTTCTCCAGACCCACTGCGCTGGGCGGGGCGCACAGCGGGGCTCGCGGACGCCAGCCACGTCTCCCTTAGGCTTCACTCCATACTTTCCCACCGCCTCAAACCCTACTCCGTTCTGGGTTCTAGAACACCCTTGGACCACAAGAGAGTCTGCCCCTGGAGGACAAAATGCCTTCCTATATGTGGGTGTTCGGAGCCATGTCCAGCGGGGGCCACCTCCGGGCTTGGGTGGCCTAGGTGCTGGGGCCTCCTCAGGCCGGTGGCTGTAGGCTCTGCCACCTGCGGCTGCCAAGTCTCTCAGGGGAACGCCTCCTCCCGGCCTTTTCAGTTTCTATGGGGCTCCTAGCCCCTCTCTTTCCTCTTCCCCTCCCCCTCCTTGGCGGGCGGCCCTTCTTCATCGACCCCTGCCCCACGCGGCCAAGCCTGGGACTGCCTGCCAGACGCCTGCCTCAGAGATGTGCGCTCCAGAGCCCTACTGGACCCAGGCCCTGAGCGCTCCTTCCAGCGAGAGGTGTGGGTGCTGGAAACCGGGTGCTCCGCGCCAGGTTCAAGTAGCCTTCCTGCCCGGGAGACCCAGCTGGCACTGGGACGCAGTGCGGGGACCTTGTGGGAGTCCAAAGCCTTGGCTGGCGCTTAGGCGACCAGCAGGGCGCCCGGACTGCTTCGGACTTGTCCCCGCCTTTCCTGCCGCGGCCCTCCGGGGGCCGGGCTCACTCCTCCAGTTCTCGCCCCGCCGGGGCCCCGCGGTCGGCCGGGAGGGGAGCCCCGTTTCGCGGCGCTGTGCAGACTTGCTCAGAAAGATTCCTGGGTTCAGACCTGTGAATCGCCCCAGGGTCACCCTCTAATTAATGATGACGCTCTCGCCCTCTCCCCAGCTGCAAGCCTGCCTTCCAGAAAGGAAACGTGCCCGCTCTGACAGCTCGGTTGAAGGTGATTGATGACTATCTGGCGACCACAGTACACATCCTAGAATATCTGCTGCGTAATTGCTTTAATTTACAGACGAAAAAATATGCGTTCTCCGATCCCGCTGGACCGAAGCCGGCCACGTCCCAGCGGGTCCCACAAGGAGACCATCGGAAACCACGAATCGCCGCTCCATGCAAATTATTCAGACAGTTTAGCGTCTGTAGCCCGGAGAGATATATAAAGGACACGAGTCAAATGACATTAATAATTGTTTTTGAATTCTGTATTGATTTCGTGGCCGCCGCGTTTCTTTCTCACCTGAATTGCTAAGGCTACCTTCCTGTAAATAATCAGAAACTAGCCACCGGGGCTTCTCCGGTGGAAATGAATCTCCCGGTGTCGCTCTCATCGGCTTCTCACTCCTGCTCCTCCCCTCCCCCCGCTTCCCCCCTCCCCATCCCGCCAGTTTTCCAGCTTTCGCCTGGGCTTGGGCGGAACGTCCGCAGACTTTCCATTATTTATTGCTTACAAACAACTCTCCCTCTTTCTAGCTCGCTCTGCCTGGCTAGGAGGCCAAGGAGAGGGAGGGATGGAGGCGAGATCTGGCGAGATCCGGGGAGCAGGGACCCGCGAAGGAAGGATGGCATTCATTAGGGATCTGTGTAGTCTTCACCCATTGCGCTGGTCCTCTCCCTGTCTGCAGCGTGTGTGGGTCCCCTAGGGAGCTAGGCGAGTGTGAGCGCTCATTTTGGGCCTGGAAGCAAAGCCACCTCCCAGGTCTCAGCGGCCTGCGCGCTGCGCCTCCAGGCTCCGCTTGCAGTGTCTGGCCCACTAGGCCTATGTGCCTCCTTTCCTTTTCCAGAGGCCCCTGGCCACGGCGGCTCCCTGGGGAATCAACGCCCCTGATGACGCAGGGCCATTTCGATTCTGAGCTGCCGTGCTGGCCTTCAGACCCAGGGCTCCAGCAGTCTGCTCCTTCCCAGGAACATAGCCTGCTCCATTGGTCCTTGGGGGCCTCAGAAGGGGGCTGTTCCGCGGCTTCCTTGGGCCACCAATGCATCTTTCCTGCCCTCCCCCCCTTCAAGGACTGTGTGCATAAACAGGCTCTCTTAGTCCGCACTGGCTCTCTCAGGTTCTGGCCCTGCTCTTCCAGCAACCCTCCCTCCCTGTTCTCAGAAATCCGTCACAGGACTGCCCTTACCAGGCCCTGGCTGGCCGTGCCTGCGGGCCTGACAGGCCGCCTTGTATGGGAAGGCTTGTGACTCGCAAAGGGGTCTCGCAATTTCTCCAGCAGTTCCCCCGGCCCCTGCTATCCAATCCTGGACACAGGTCAGCCCCGCTGTAGCTAGCAGACGGGCCCACTCCCAGGCTCTCCGGGTGCCAACCAGGGAGTCGCTGAGGCCGAGTCCTTCAGGCGCCACAGAAAACAGCGTGATCAGGGTCCACGTGCCCTTTTCATAAGAACGCCCGAGCTGAGAGCAAGGCCCAGAAACAGCCGGACCCGGGTGCACCACCTCAGACATCCTCAGTTAATTCTGCCTGTCTTGACGCGGTTTGCTGAGCCCGTGTCTTCGAAGGCACCCCCGGTTCTTAACGCACCTTGAGCGGGCAGGCAGAATGTACGGGAAGCAGCCGCAGCAGCTTGGCTTCTGGAGGGGCCCCGGCGGGTCTGCGGGATCAAAGGAACCCAGAGCTGGGGCCGAAGCAGACCTCAGAGGGGACAGAGGGCAGCTCCCAACTGATTAGCCGATTTGGGGCTACTCTTTTCGCCTCTGGAGGGTGGTGGCAGCGAGGCTCTGTTAAGGCCCTCGGAATCATGAAGGGACGCTGAGAAGAAATGCCTTGCCCTGACCTTCCCACAGCTCCTGCTGGGTCCTCACTCCTAAGACAACTGAGCCCAAGAGTCCCAGGGCCACCCCCACCCCACCCAGCAGGCCCACAGC